ATTACTTCTGAGAGATGAATTCTGGCCCAGGGCTGGAATTACTTTCGAGGTTGTTGTAAACAGCTTATATAAGATCAATTCGGTTAATACTTGAAGAAAATTTCAAACGAGTATAGTCGAGTAATTTAGACGAAAAATTTAGATATCTTCGAGGAATTGAGAAAGAACGTCTCTTATACACGTTATTTTTTCTAGCAACGTGACTTTTGAAATTCCCGTGTCATTTTCCAGACATTCGAATCGCGTTAAGATTAATACATTATCCGTAAGAATCGATTGAAAAAGAAAGGAAAAGGAAAGGAAAAAAAAAAAAACAAGAATCGAAAATTTTTCTAAATTCGAAACAAGAGACGGAAAAATTAAAAGTGTCTAGCTATCCTCGTTAAAATAACCGAGCCTTACATTTATCGATTAAAACGATTTCCATTTTTTCCACGTGCGTGCGTGTAAGAATACGAGTCGTCGAATAACACGGATGTAAAATGTAAATAATTAAAAAACACAAACAATTTTCGAAAGGAGGAATAGACGCGGCCTATTTGGTTAGAAAAATCATTTTCTTCGAGATAAGAATTAAGGAAAAAAGAAAAAAAGTATATATATATATTTAATATATATATATATATATAAATGAAAAGAGAGAAAAAATATGTCAATCTTAACGAATGGAAGGAATCGTAATCAAGTACGCGACTTATATATAGGAAAAATAATTAGAAGGAAGAAGAAGAAGGAAGATTTCGTTGGTAATAAAAGAAAAAAAAGAAAAGAAAAAAAAGAAAAAAAAAACGTACACCGTTTGTTATTAACAAAAGATAGTTTTGTTTATAAATTTTTTGCAAGCGATTTATAGTGCTTGCAAAAAATCCCCTTAGGAAAGCATTAAATCGATTATAGAAAGATGAATTCGTACGATTCGATTCGATGCCTGTATAAACTCTTAGTTAACTTTCTTTCTAGAACGGATGAAATTTATGTTTTTTCTTTCTAATTAGATGTTAACATAACAGGAAGAGGAAAAATTAATTGCTTAACGTGTCTCGGTAAGAGATCGAGAGAAATGTACGATTCGTCGTCGATACGATATAAATATATCTATATTTTTATTACGTTTTATTACTTTACATTTTACCGACGGTAAACACCGCGGGAAACATAATTACCGACTGTTTTTTATCCGAATAACATTTTTACTTAATTCAATCAATTTTTTTTTTCTTTTTTATCGTTTTTTTGTTTTCTCTCTTCAAATTTGAAAAAGAGTTATAACGTTTTAGCAAATTGTATCTTTTCCTTCTTCCGTACGTTATGGATAAACGTACCAAGGGTAATTGTAACGAGAAGAATTTTTTTTTTCGTCAAATTTTATTACATACAATTTTCCATCTGTGTAATTGAATAATAAAAAAAAGAATTAAGAAATAAGGAATGAGAGGGAGAGAGAGAGAGAGAGAGAGAAAGAAAGAGAGAAAGAACAACTACCCGGAATATAAGGGTAGTAATTTTCGTACATAGGAAAGCGCCTAATGTTTAAAAATGAAATAAAATAGATAAATGAACGGGGAAAAAAAGTTAAAGAAATGAAAAATATATATATATAAATATAAATAAAAAAAAATAAATAAATAAATTCATATTTGCGTATGTAGGTGTATATACAAATAATGTATATTCAGATTCATACGCATTTATATAATTATATTGAATTATTATTAACGAAAAAAATAGATGAGAACTTATATATTATTTGTTGGGAGAACATATATTATACGATATTTAATATATTTAGGATATTTATTTGTTGATTTGGTGATATAAAAAAAAAAAATATATATATATATATAAAACATAGATTAAAAAAAAAAAATATATATATATATACATA